AAGGGTGCCCATCCATTTGAAGACACCTGCTTTACAACAGTAGTAACTGCGAGGAGTCTTGGAGACAATCCAGACACTGTAAGAACTGAGCAGCTGGCCACCCAATGCGATGGGCCAAAATTCTCCCACTAGTCTACATCATTGTGTAAATACTCAAAATTTTTAATCTCTTCTCAAATCCACTAAAACTAGTAGGAGTTAACAAAGTTTCAAGCACCAAGTTGATAACCAGCAATGAAAAATTAGAAAACTAAACATCTTAGATCATCATCCAGGGCCAGTGAGATGGTTAAATAGGTAAAGGAGCTTGCCACAAAGTCTGGTGACTTGGGTTCAATCCCCAGGACTCACATGTCATATGGTAGGAGAGAACTGACTCCTGACATCACACACACACACACACACACACACACACACACACACACACACACAGGAGGAGGGGGTAAATGCAACCAAAAGTTAAAATCAATATCAAAATACACAGATAATAAAACATGCAGTAAAGTTACATGTTAAAAAAACCAAAAAACATAAAACTTTGAGACCTAAAGAGATCCTACATAAAAGAAGATAACTTTGTTGGAGAATTCAATATTGCCAAGATGTTAGCTCTTCTGGACCTAATTGAAGCAGATGGGGATTGGGGTAGTAATAGCATTGTCAAATGGTAGGTTCCTTAAACTCATGTTTGTAAGCATTCCTGGTTTTCACCTGTAAATAAGCAAAGACACTGGGGCTTGGGCAACTTGGGCTGCTGGGCTCTCCCTTGCTTCCCACCCTGCCTTGAGCAAGGGAGCTGTCAGTCTAACAGCCAGCCAAAATGTCCTGTCTCGCCCCCAGCCATCTGCAGCGTACCCTGGATGCCTTGAGAAAACTACAGAAATGACAGCAGTGCATTACCCTGGCTCCGGAGGGCCCAGACCCAGGTAGGGATGTTTGAAACCATTTCTGCCTTGCCAGAGTAAGGAGACTTCTTGTCATGAAGGAACTACCATGCCAGGGTGCTAAGAGATGAAGCTGCCATTGGCCTCAAACCTAAGTCTTACTAACAACTATGGTTCCTGCTAAAAACAAAAACAAACAAAACAAAACAAAAACAGGCCTGGTGGTTTACACAAATGGCTGTGGTTGGTCCTAACACCTCTTCCCTGGCTGTATTAGCCGAGCGCTTGGGTTCACCATGAGAGTTGGTTGGAGACCAGCTGCCCTGCCCTGGGGCATCAGACCCAATCAAGGCTTTCCTCTTCCCTGTTTTCAGTAGTGTGAACTAAGCTGGTACCTGAAGAAAGGAGCAACAGAGAGGGAAAACATCAGGGCAAGAGATGGCAGCTTGACAGTTGAAGAGGTCCCAACTGGCTTTTGTTACTTTCCAAGCACAGAGGAATGGGCAGGTGTCCCTTGAAAGCTGAAGAACCATCAAAGCTCACAGGACCAACCCACCTGGAGATGTCAATAGTGGCCTGGGTCACACACCAATCTGCTAGCCCACCTTGTGATCCTACCCACCTGGCAATGGGTGCTCACCCAGGAGAGATCCTGGCCACCCCTGGTGCCTAGTCCCTGAAAAAAAAGACAGTGCATCCTGAGTGGCACCTGTCATCAGGCTTTATCCTGACTCCTGAATAGGACCCAGCCAAGGCAGGTACACTAGTTTGTTCATCGAACTCCTTTACTGGTGGTTTAACAACAGGTAAACACATGTTGTTCAATGTCATGAATCTAGGGGGGGGAAATGTCAATTAAAACTAGAGTAGGAGGGCTGATGCTATGGATCAGCCAGGGGTAGCTATGCAAGCCGAACAGCCTGAGTTTAGTTCCCAGAAGCCACGGTGGAAGGAAAGAAGCTATTCCTGAAAGTTGTTTGGCCTCCACCCACATGCTGTGGTGCGCAAGCACTGCACGCATGCAAAAATAGCTAAAAGTAACAAAATGGCCATGGCCTGCAAGGCAGCAGAGCAAGTGAAACCCAAACTCTATATTGATGGAAATGCAAAATGGTACGCTCATCTTAAGAACAGCGTGGCTAGAAACCTCGTAAGAATAATGTATATTTACGGTATAACCCAGAAGCCCTCCAGTTACTTACTAAGACATTCATAATACACAGCAATACAAAGACCCATAGGGGACTGTAGCAGACCTATTTACTCATAGTAGCCAAATACCTGGAGCAAACCAAATGTCCATCATCTGCTGGTATATCCAATTCAATAGAGCAGAACGCAGCAATAAAAAGGAATAGACTACTGTTAAATACAACAAAGCTCGGGCTCAATATGCTAAGTAAGGCAAGCCAGACAAAAGGTTCTGCACATTTTATGATTCCGTGTATTTGGAGAGGACAGAATCAGGAATCAGATCATTGTCTCGAACCAGATACAAGAGAACTGTTTGAGCTACTAAAATAATTCTACATATTTACTGTGATGGGGTAAGACATCACATGGACATTAGCTTTTAGCTTGTGGAATTGTACAGACAAATGGGAGATGTTTTATATAGTACAAATTACATGTCAATAAACCTGACTTTTAAAACGGTACAACATAACTACTTGTGTATTGTAGGCCCACAGAGAACAGTTATCATTTATTTGTGGTGATTTGGACCAAATACAATTTCATGAAAAAAGAAAAAAAAAAAAAAAAAAAGCTCAGAAAAGTTTCCTAGCTCGTTTCTGCTGCTGTGATAAAATATCTTAACCAAAAGCAACTTAGAGAGCAAAGGGTTTATTTGGCCTGCAGGTTACAGTCCATCAGCAAGGAATGCAGAGCAGGAACTGAAAGCAGGAACCACAGAGTCATGCTGCTTACTGGCTGGCTCAATTAGCTTTGTTTACAGCCCAGGCCTGCATGACCGTTAGGGATGACGCTGCCCACAGTGGGCTGGGCCCTTCTACATCGATTAGTAATTAAGAAAATGCCCAACAGGCCAATCTGATCAAGGCAGTTCTTCAGTTGAGGTTTCCTCTTCCCAGATAAAAGTTTGTGTCACATTGACAGCTGACTATGATCAGCGTGCTGGGAGGAAATACTAGTTTTTATCTCAACAGAACATACAGTGTATTAATAACCTGGGCATGCACAGTACCCACAGTGCTCCAGTTTCTTTTCTGTGCTTTGATAAATACCATGCCCGAAAGCAACTTGCAGGTGTGGGAAAGGTTTTATCTCAGTTTATAGTTGCATAGGTTGCAGTCCATCGCTGAGAGAAGTCAGACAGATACTTGAAGGTGAATCCATACAGGAACACTGCCTGCTGGTTCACCGGCAGGCTCAGGCCTAGGGAGCTTTCTTATACAGCCCAGAACCACCTGTCCAGGGAACAGTACTGCCCACAGTGGCCTGGGCTCCTCTACATCAGTGAACAATCAAGATGCTTCCTCACAGACACGCCCACAATCCAGTCATGAGACTCCCTTCTCAGGTCGTTCTAGGCTACGCCAAAACGAAATGGATATCCAGAAATTGATACCAAGAAAAGGACATCAACATTTTAAAAGACAAATGATGCACATTAGCGCAGTTGTGAACGATGAACAGGCACAAACTACTCGGTCTGACCAGTAACCAGGGAAATACAAATAAAGTGGTCACCATTATTTCCCCATCAGAAAGGGATATCGCAAAACAAACAAAAGAGGGTAACTTAAAAAATAGTTGGATGAGCTGAGCTCGGTGGCATCTGCCTGTAATCCCAGCACTCTGAGAGGCAGAGGTAGGCGGATCGCTGAGTTTGAGGCCAGCCTACAAAGTAGTCTACAAACAGAGAGCAGGGCAGCCAAGGTTACACAGATAAACCCTGTCTCGAAAAAGAAAACAAACAAACAAACAGTTTTTAAAAGGTCGATGATTGTCTTTGCAGGCCCGTTAATGGGTGAGCCTGTGCCAAAAAGCAAGAAGAGTAGTCTCATCTTAGCTGGCGACCGCGGTGCAGTAACAGTCACACAGACTATAGAAATCACAGAAGTGTGAGCGCATGATGCTAAGAATGGACCCTCGCCCATATGTGTCTGTACACACACACACACACATGCACAACAACACACACTCATGTGGTGTTATACAGACAGGGTTGTAACCTTGGATGTTTTGGACTCGCTTTGTAGAGCAGCCTGGCCTAGAACTCACAGAGATCCTGTGAGATCCGCCTGCCTCTGCCCTCCTCAAATGCTGGGATTACAGGCGCGCGCCACGGTGCCCAGCTATAAAATGTCTTTAAGGAGTCTTTTAGTGGTTCCATGGCTGACTGCTCTCGGATTGCTCTCGGGTTATCCTGCACGCGTTTGACTTCTTTTTTTAAAAACCGTTTTCAACTTTGCTCTTATGATCTAACACAGAAACCCGAGACCCCCTGTCCACCCTCATTTAAAATAGAGATCTTGCTCTACAGTCTTCCTGAAAAGCTCCAGGTGGTGCTAGCTATGAGGCCCCAACTGTTTTCAGTAAAGGTAAGAACTAAAAACGATCGTCTAGGTAACACAGGAGGCTGTAATGGTGCGAAATGAAAAAGAAACAACCCCGACAGAGGCGGGAATCAAGAAACTGCAGAACACAGAGCCCAGGGCCCACACGAAGAGACCGTTAATTGTTGCACAGGTGTCGTCACGCAGGTCACACGAGTATTTTTCCTTTTTTTTTTTTTTTTTTTTTTTTTAAATTGGCCACGCATTTGATCTTCAGGGTCATTTTGAGAAGTGGGGCAGGAACAGCTGGAGGAGGGGCAAGAGAGCTGCCATGCATTTCCCTAGGAAGGAAAGACTGAGAGGGATGTGCCTAAGGCTGAAGCTCGTAGCGAGGTTACCTCCATTCCTGGGCTACCAGGCGGGAAACCCAAGATCCCGTAACTTTAACGGGGTGAGCAGCAGGGGCCACATCAGTCCCCACAATCCTACTCTTTCACCCCAAGACCACTGAGAGGTCCAGTAACCCTCTCTGAACACCCAGAACCCCACGTTAACTCCACACCCCGCTCCCTACCGAGACTGGGTTTCAACTCACAGTCTCTGCACTTCTTGGCCTCGGGCTTTTGCTGTGCCGCTGGCTCCATCTTGTTACCATCTGTTGCCACAGCAACCGCAGAGTGGCTCACCCTCTAGCAAGAGGAGCTATGATTGGAGGAGGCCGGCGTCCCTAACAACCGCCAGGCTCTTATTTACCGTTTCTTACGAAGCAAGCTCCCCCACCCCCACCCCATCCCAACGCCTTTCTGAGCCAGACCTTTCCTGGCTCTTCAGAACCATCCCGAAAGAGTAACTTCCAAATAGATTAAGCCACCTTTCCTTTCTGAGACAGAACACAAAGCAGTGGGCTTCCCAGAGTTCATTTGCATTTATTTAAATTAGCCCGTAAGCCACTTCCCAAAGACTTTTAACTAGTGATCTTCCTTTACTCCTTCAGTTTAAAAAAAAAAAAAATCATATTATAGATCTGTGATTATTGGTCAAATATCAGTCATCAAGGGGATGACTGAGAGATTACAGCTGCCAAGGTTTCACCAAGACTTTACTTCCCTTCTACACCAGGTCACAGAGGGAGTTGTGCATAATGTGATCAAGTGACAGAGAGTGGAGACAGGATCCATCGCTGGACAGAGAGGTCAGGGATGGCTCCTTTGAGAGGCGAGCGCGGGAAGCCGAGGCATAAGGAAGATAAAAATGATGAAGAGAGCAGGACACAACAGAAGCGGAAAACTAAGGGAAGACTGGGGTCAGACTTAGTCTAGAGAGGTCAACAAGGCTGCAACAGAGAGGGCATGAAGGGCTGAGATAAGATACAAGAAGATGGCTCTCTGCAGAACTGCCTCCTCCTCCTCCTCTAGTCCCTGGTGAGCTGTCCCCTGTCATACCCTATCATGTCACCCTATTTATTCCTTCCCAGACCTTGTTAGGTTCTTTTCCCCTGCGGGCTCTATCAGCACAGACTGTGGTATTTCTATCCCGACACTTAAAACTGTAACAGGCGAACCCTGAATAAATACTTGTTGGCTGCCTGAAGTTCCACATGACAATGCCAGGAATCAGGGGTGGACTGTGAGAATGTGGCAGAGAAGAAGACAGAAACGCCTCTGCCTTCGGGGACGCTGAATGCCTGTGAAAGAAATGAATTACAAACGACACTGGCAAGCTAATTGTGTGCAGAATCAGATGGTTTAGACTCTGAGTGCTCGGCAAAGCCATTCCACACACACACCCCACACACACACACACACCGAAAGTTTCTTTATTGTTTCGATTACATCTCAAGTCAAGGTCACAAGGGTAGAAGACGTACTGTACACAGAATACTGATAGAGAGCCATCAAGGCAGACATCAACTCTGCCCGTGGAGCCTATGGTCTGTGGATAGTATCCCCACCACAGCTGACACTCATAGCCATTGAGCTCCTGTGCCCACGGAGTTCTTGACATGTGTCTGATCCTACCTAGAAGATGGATTAGATGTAAATTTGGGTCATAAAGATAGAGGAAAGGGAGAATTAAAAAGTACCTCTTTGCTGATTTAAAAATATTGATTTCATGTTGAGACAACAAGGTTTTAGATAATCTGGGTTGGATGCACTGTTATTAGAACCAATTTTAACTGTATTTTCTACTGCTCGATATGTTTTTTAATGTTAAAATGCATATATGGCTGGCCTTAAATGTGCATTCGACAGAGCCTCTCTATGAAGAGCCTTTATGCCAGCTAAATGCACAAATGAATTTTCCATATGATGTTAAAGTAGTCATTTGGGGCTTGGCACTCGGAATAGCAAATTTCAAATACAGGAAGTAGACCAACATTTTACAAAGAAAACCAGACATTCCTCATAAGCTTATCGCACACACTGAGTGTGTGCAGTCAGAGGGGGCTCATTAGGGAAGACTTCCTCAGACAGGGTTGAGACCTGACATCCTTGAAACCTGCAGACAAAAGAACGGGGCTTTAAGGAGACCCTGGGTGAATTTCAACTGTAGTGGCTGCAGGACTTTAAGCTGTACAAGGGGCACGGCAGGCTTGGCTCCAAACCACACCACTGACCAACTCTGAAGGGCAAGAGGTGAGCCCCTGAGTCAGGCCCCCAGCAGAGCAAAGGAGAAACCTCTAGGCTAAAAACAACCTCTCCTCCTTACCCTCATCCCACCCACTCCCTCTCCATGTGTCTGAGTGTTCTATATGGCACAAGACACCGGCCACTTCAGAGACTGTTCCGGATCCTATTAAGTCCTTTCTAGGAAAGGAACTCAGTAGAACGAGGAAACCTCAGTGAAGGGGAGAGCTGAATGAAACAGCTTCAATGTGTCCCTCCAAAACCCACAATGCTGAGCCTGCAAAGAGTGGTTTGGCTGTGAGAGCTGTCCCCTCCCGACCTCCCAAGAGGCCTTAGGTACCCTTATAGAGGGGCTCTAGGAGGAAGTTCTTCCTTCCTCCCCTTCTGCCTTCTGCTAGGAGAGGATGCAGTATTCTTCACCTCCGGATAGTTCTTGGTAGCAGAGGCCTGGCTCTGCCTGTAGGATGGACCTTCCAGAACCTTGATCTTGGACTTCCCAGCCTTCAGAGCCATGAAAAATGAACACAAATCAATTGTGTTTATCAGTTCTGTTGTTTATAAAGTCTCTGGTCTCACTTGTTTTGTTACAGAAGCACAAATATTAAGACATTGAAGGTACTATCAGGTCCCCAAGAGGTTCAAAGGACCAGCCAAACAAGAGTTCTTATTTCTGAATGGTTTCCTAAACACACACACAAACAAACATACACACACATCACTTAACCACAGAAGTGTCAGACAAGTAGCAACTTTCTTACTGTTCTTTCCTCCCTCCCATGCTCCAATTCAAGAAGGGTCAGAAAACAGTTTTCCAGCTGTGGGCACAGATGAAACACAGACACAGACATAGACACACACACACACACACAGAGAGAGAGAGAGAGAGAGAGATGAACAATGCCTTCTGTGATGGCTATTCATGGCTGTCAAGTTGACTATATCTGGATTTAATGAGAACCTAAGTTTCTGGGAGTTTTCTTGATTGAACCATCTGAAGTGTGAAGCCCCACCTTAAATTTGGGTCTTTTGTGGTGGGAAGCTTCATGGGCCACACCGTCTGCTGGCAGCCTGTATGAAAGACATGGAAGGAGGACACTTGCTCTCTTTGCCTGCTTGCTCTCGCTCTGGCAGGTCCGTTTCTTCACTGACATTAGAGCTTACTCCTTTAGGATTCCAGCATATACTGAAGACCAGCTGAGACATCCAGCCTCATGGGCCAAACAGCTACTGGATTCTGTGAATACCAGACTAGCTGGACCACAGCCTGTCAGCCACTCTAATAAATCCCCTTATACATACATACATACACTTATGTATGTATATTCTATCAGTTCTGTTCTTCTATAGAACCCTAACTAATAATACATTTTCCTTTCCCCACTGTATCTTTCCTGTCTCCAACAAGTTTGAGGTCAGAGAGAGGGCACACATTTTTTGTTGTTGTTGTTTTATTTGGTTTTGATTCTTTTAAGAGGTGGGGTCTCATGTAGCCCAGGTTGGCCTTGAACTCACTATGTAGCAGAGGATGACCTTAAACTCCCTGACGCCTGCTTGCTGTCTCTTATAAGAACACACATACCTCAAAATGACATTTGTAATCCTTGCCTCCAAGTTACTTCTGATTGGCTGATTAACTGACTACACACCCGGGGAGGGCAGATGTGGCCAAAGTTTGAGGGCTTTGAGGACAGGAGGATCCCAGGAAGAAGAGAGAGGTATGAGAAGAAAAAAGAAGGAAGCAGAATCCCCACAGGAGAAGGAAAGAGCCACGTGGGATGGGAAGAAGAACTGTGAGAATGTGTGCAGAGGAGTGGCCTGGATGGAAAGTTCCTGCGAGTATTTATGGATTCTGGATAGGAAGTCACCCAGATAGGAATGATTAGAGCTTTTGGCATGGGGTATGGCACTGGGAGATAAAGGGTAATTTAGGAAGTCAGTATCCCTCCTGCCCCAGGTAAAATAAGGCTTATCTAAAATCTGCCAGGTATCTGTGTCTTTTATTGTTTGATAGCAGGTTAAATAAAACCACTTTTAATAATAACATTATTAGCCATTTTTTTTCACTTAGTACAACAATCCTTTTACCTTTACCTATAAATTGCTGAAATGACAGGCATGAGCCACCACTCCCAGCTCCCAAATTTCAACTAAATGGTTTTGAGACTGTGTTTTGACACCTAAGAGGGTACAGATACATCTTGGCAGCTGACTGTGTTTATCCACAGGAAGGGAAATATTTTGACTCGCAGAGAAACGTCAAAGAGAGTCTAAAAGCAGAAATAAGTTGCTTTCTGAACACAGCCCACAAGTCATACTAGTTTGACCTAAAGGTTACATAACAAATACGGGCTAGGCTTTAAATATGGACAGAACCGTGTTCATCTCAAAGAATACAATGGGTGAATAGAGTTAGAGATTGAGCTGAACTGCCTCTTCTTCCTCCAGCAAGGACATGAGTCATGTCAAGTTGCAGGACACCTCAACCTCAGACCTGAGAAAATTCCATGTCCCCAGGGGGCTTTCTGGGTCTTCTGAGAGGAGCTGGCTCCTGCTCCTCGGGGGGCCATCTGCAGGTGATGCACAATGACAGAATCCTGACGGAGTGATGTTCTTAGCACCAGACAGACTGGTAGGTGGGCAGGGGGAAAACAGACACAAAACCAAAGAGCCACTCAGGTGGAAGTAGGCATCTCCCCAAAGGCTGACGATGGTATTAAAAAGTAGAGCAAATCTGTGAATGATTTTTATTCACTTGAATCTCCCCTAAGTAAAGAGTGTTATGGAAAGGATTATCCATAGCCAGATGCCTAAGGAACACTCACCATGCTTGGCCCGGATACAGCACAGGAGCCCAGCGCTTTATTATTTCTAAGGTGTTAACATGTAATTGAAGCTTTAGGCAGTGAAGTCTACAAGGCTGAGCCATCTTCAAGCTAGAAAGTGTTAAGCAAGGCAGATGCCAGAGAGGCCTCCATCCCACAAAGCCTACAGAAGCAGAAGATGGATCTGGGAGAGAA